ACACACGCTACCCCCCCCAACCCCGCCCCAGCTCCTTCCCTCCGCAGACACAACCAGGCATATTTACAGAGCGAACGAGAGGAGGGGGAAACACTTCATAAATAAAGAGGGAGACATTCAGATCAACAGCAAAGCTTCTTCTGGTCAAAGGGGGAAATGGATTTTTAATAGAAAATGGAAGTTATGGGCTCGGTTGTGATGTGACAGACGCCCAGACTTAAACCCATTTAATCTTCTCTGCCGTTTAACGCGGAGCACCACCCTGACGCGGTGTTTCAGAAAACAGGCTCCAAATCGCTGGGAGATTAGAAGTGTAGAAATAGCACCGCAATATTTTTAAACCAGAAATCGCCCCCAGGCATTTGGGCTGCCCCCGGGGTCACCACTGAAATCTGAATATCCATCACATCAACTCTCGGAAGCCTGGCCCTCCCTCCCGCCACCGGCTGGCCATCCGGATTAGTTGGGGGAAGGAAACTTGACACCCGTGGGCCCCCACCCTACTGGCCGGGGTTGCGGTGGGCCCACCGAGGCTTCCTCCCAGGTGTATGCTGAATTGTCCCCATGTGATCGTCTCCAGTCAGCATAAACGACAACCCAAGGGGGCTGAAATATTAACACCTCGCCACCTCCACTGGGAGAAGTGAGTCATTTTGCTCTCCTCCTTTACAATATTTACTCATCTCATTCACTGGACTTTTCATCCAGGAGCATCTGCCAGTGCTGGGCCTGTCACCTGCCCCCCAGAGACGGGCAAGAGGCTTCAGGGGTCTCCGTGCCCCGGCACGGCAAGTGTGGATGGGGGGAAAGCGGTGGGTCCCCAGGACAGTAGAGGCGGGAGGAACCGGCAGGGCTCCCCTGCAGGGCTGTGAGCTCCCTGTCCCGGCCACCACTCTATCCCCTGGGCCTAGCACAGCACTGGGCACTTAGCACCCAGACTCCAGGGCCGGGCTCCCCAGGTTTGAATCCCTGCTCTGCCGCTTACAAGCAACGTGACCTCAGGCAAGATGACCTCACCTCTCTGTGCCTTAGTTTCCCCGTGCATAAAATGGGGGTGACCTCAAGCGTTGTCAGGTTGGACGAGTCCCTGTCAACGACAGTGTCCGGGTATACGTTCGCACCCGGCACCACCTGAGTATCCGTTGCTATTGTTTATGAGTATTTTCATTATAACAGGCAAACGGCACTTGCAGAATAAATATCCCACAACAAACACTTACCCCTCACCTACAGCAATAACGACTACCACTATCTAACACAGTTCTCAGACGGTCTGATACAGAATCAGCCGGAGAGCTGGTTAAAAATACAGATCTTTAGGGGCGCCTGGGTGGCGCAGTCGGTTAAGCGTCCGACTTCAGCCAGGTCACGATCTCGCGGTCCGGGAGTTCGAGCCCCGCGTCGGGCTCTGGGCTGATGGCTCAGAGCCTGGAGCCTGTTTCCGATTCTGTGTCTCCCTCTCTCTCTGCCCCTCCCCCGTTCATGCTCTGTCTCTCTCTGTCCCAAAAATAAATAAATGTTGAAAAAAAATAAAAAATTAAAAAAAAAAAAATACAGATCCTTAGACAACAGGTTCACCAAGTGCGTCCGAGGGCCAGGAAACGATTTCTGACGCGGGCGGTCCTCCATCCACAGCTCAGAGCAACACTCCCCAGAGAAAAGTAGATTTTGCCACCCTGGACCTCCAACGTCACCTTTTCCAACAATAGGCAGTTTCCATGGGCTTGGCTGACAGGACCTTAGCACCACATTAATTAACTTAATTTGGCGATCGAGTTAATGAAGTAATAGTGTGTGATCGATAACAGTAAAGCATTGCAACAGCCTCACGCTGCTGCCCGCAGGCTCGCACACGGTTTTTTTTTTTTATGCAGATGTGGCCTGGTGAGTTTCTTAGGTTAATCTGCCAGGTTCATTACTGCACTGCATTTGCACACAAAGGTTTCCATAGGCGATATATTATTTGCCCTCGCTCTGACTCTTCTTATCCCATAGTCAGTTGGCAAACTCAGGCCCGGAGACCAACCGGCGGGACCTCAACTAGACCATCCAAAACCCCAGGTCTGGACCAGCGAGACAGGGTCTGGCTCCTTCATCAGGAAACTCACTTCTTGTGCGTCCACGCCTCAGACACAGTCTGTGGCTAGACCCTGGGGAAGGTCTCCCCGGACGGCATCAGAGCATTTACAGGCCATCAGAGTTGGCAGTTGCCCCGGGGCACGATGGAACGGCCAGGACCAAGTCCCAGGCCTCCCGTCCGTCGCTGTCCCCCAAACCTGGCGCACCTGCTTCACCACCGTCCTCACCATCATCATGGCCATCGTTTCGTTTTTAGCACTCATTTGGTGCCGGGCACCGTGAGATGCCCTTCCCCCGCGTTATTGTTCATTGAACCCCTACAACCACCTCTAACCACGAGACCCCATTGTACAGAGGAGAACACAGGACGTTAGGTGAAGCAATCTCCTAGTTTCACGCAGCTAACAGTGGCAGACCTACACGTCCAACCCAGGCCTCCCTCCCTTCTGGCCGGTATCCCTCAACGGCCAGACCGTCTCCAGGGTGTGAACGTACCATCAGGGGGTTTTCCAATGAAGGAGAGCAATTTGGGGTATGACATTTCTTACTGAGTTGGGATTGTCCCGGGCTTCCAACATTTCATCCCTAGGGCACCCCCCATTCCCACAACTAAATGCCAGCCCTCCAGCTCCAAATTTCCCTAGGGAAGCAGTCCTACCCCCCCCCGCCCCCCACTGAGCAGCACAGCTCCAAGCACCCAGGGGCTCTACCTCCCCATCAGAAACCTCGGTTTTCGGTTCTGATTTTGGTTTTTTAAGATCCTCAGCACAAACATACTTCCTGCAACCAGCAACCTGTGAGACCCAGCAAAGATCAGTCATCTTCCAACCTACAAGGCCCCTCACCACCGGCTCCAGAAGCTATGAGCCAACAGCTGACAGTCAAACAGACTCTTTAATCTCCCAGCCCCTTCTAGACAGGCCTGGGGAAGGGAAGGCCTCTTACGGCCAGAAGGTCCTTCTAGGGAGTCGGCTCAGACAGCACAGTTGTCCCTAGAGATTCCCAGATTTAGATTGTTAACGCTTCAGGGACTTAAGAGATTATTTTGTCCAATCTCTTCCATTTACAGATGGGGAGCCGGGGGCACAGAGTAAGTAACCTCAGGTACACAGCTACCCAGTGTCCTGGCTGGGACCTGACCGCTGTCTCTACTGTTCCTTCGATTCTGGCCACCCCACTTACAGAGCCCAGCAGCCGAGGAATAAAGGAGCCTCACGGAGAAATGAAATGACGCGGATGAGGGAGCATTCGAGGAACCAGAGGGGCTGGATACCCGGAGGAGAGGCCTCCGGTGGGCAGACATCTGTCTGCAGAGGGCCAAAGGGTTATCCAGCAGAAGAGGGCTTCACCTATACCCCCGTGCTTAAAACACAGAACCAAGGCCAGTGAACAGAAGGTACAGGACCCAGACCGCGTATCCTAAGGACGAGCTCTGTAATAGAACCGTGTGGCCTGAAGGGGCTGCCTTCAGAGGAAGGGGTTTCCTGTGGCTGCAAGGGCCGGAGCAGAAGAACAGTGGGTCTAGTGGGAAACCTGCATGGGGTCACACATCCGACTAGGGGTTGGATCCCGCGTCCTCAAAGCTGCCTTCTAACCCGGAAGACTTTAGCCCATGGCAGTCATCTGCTCGCTCGCTCGCTCACTCTCTCTCACACCGCAAAGCAGGTCCCCAACCCTCAGACCCCATGGCTCTGGGAGGCCATCCCAGAAGCAGGGTGGCCATAACCCTGACTCAGCCGGGCTCTCAGGGCCCGGATTCCAGTAACTGCCGTCACCTCAAATGAGGTCGCACAAGATAGGACTCTGTGCCTACTGCTCCTCCCACAAAAGACCGTGCATCCTCTGCAGGGAGAATCACCTTTGCCGAAGGGTGTCCAGAGGACTACGGAAGCAACTCACACCCAAGGACCTGGGGAGGGAGCAGAGGTAGGCCTTCCCACTCCCACCAGACACCGGAGCCACAGGGACGGTGCCAAGCCTGCTCCCAGAAGACTACTGCCAGCCTGGCTGTGCCCTGTCAGCCGTTCCCCATGTCGCTGGCAAAATTCTCCGTATGTGGGGGGCCCGAGGAGTGGGGAGACAGCCACACACAGCTGGGAGACCTTCGTTGTTCCTGGATGATGAAGTGACAGTAATTATACCTCACGTTTCAGCAAAGGATTTATAAGGCTATAAAAGTGGTTTACTGTGGCTCTTACATGTGTGTGTTTCTCTGTTGCCCGGTCTGGTTTACAAAGCATCATCACATGATCTACAATGATGGGCCCCGCATCCTTCCTGCACACATGCAAGGACAGGTGCCCTGCGGAACAGTCAGGACAGGGGTCATTCCCCCCCATTTCACAGATGAGGAAACAGAGACACATGACCTCTTAGGTGACTTGCCTAAATCAGGCTGGGCTTTGTCATCTAGGTCTGCAGACGACATTCTTCCCAACACACACACACACACAGTGTAATGGAAGTGCAACTAGCATTTGAATAACTCGGTTCCTAATGAAGGTGGTGACCTTGGAAACGGTCAATGCCAGCATCACGAAGAGCGAGGACACGGGGAGGTGGGGCTGAACGGACGAGGGGAGTAGCAGCTGGATGGCACGGGTGGTACCCGAGGCTAATGCTGTTCACGCTAAAGCAGCACTGGACAAACATCTGTTAAACAGGGCACACGGGCTGTCGTGCCCCCAGCCTCTCCCATACTCGTGGAGCCCGTAGGCCGCAGCCTGCCATGGGCAGCACCTGACCTCTGGATCATATGCCGCTTCCCTGCAGCTAGCTGACTGGGTCATAAAGGGAGAAGTGGCCGAGGGACCCCCAAGGTCACGGGCTGTCAGGGGACTACCTGAAAAACAGCGAGGTTCGTCCCACCAGGGAGAAACACAGAAATCTACCCAGCCAAAAGGCATGGGGGCTTCTCCTGCGTAGCCCATTCACATAGGCTTTATGTCATGAAATCCAGGGTAGTTCTTACTCTGTTCGGCTACACGGTAGAGATTTAATAACCGACGTGGCCTTCCTTCAGCAGGCGTGTGCGACTGGCCTTTGCCTCACCCTCAGATCCAAGTCCGGAGCCGACCTCTGCCCTTTTCTGCTGCCCTAGCTGTGGCTGGGGAAAGGGGTGTGCCGGGCTCCCCAGGGACACCCAGGTGCCTGCATGGCCTCCGCTATCTCGCGGAGGATGGGTCCTCCAGGCTACTGGGCTACGTGACAGAAGGAAGCCGTGAGGTCCCCTGCTTTGGCCACCACACAGCTTTTCTTACTGCTACAAATCTAAGCCAGGTGGCTGGCCAAAACTGCAGCTGATTGAGTCAACTACTCAGGACAGGATCCGACGATCTATTTGGAGGTATGGGCACTGAGAGGAAAGCGGGAACAGTGCAGGAAAAAGAGGAGAGGTCAGTATTTATTGAGTACCAACTGCATTCTGGCTAGTGTATGTGTACGATCGGCTTTAATCCCAATTAATAGAAAGTGAGGCTCAGGGAGACCCCAAGTCACCTATCTAGTACGTGCGGGGCCGGGATGTGAATGAAGGGTTTGCTTTGACTCCAAATTTCCACCACACTGGTGAGTTGCGATCTTTTTTATTTATTTACAACTCCAATACATAAAATGCTCTGATTGAAAGAACTGGGGAGGGAGGAGCTTGAAACTCTGCCTGCTGGCCCTCCCCCTCTCTACCTCCAGCCCTCCCCCAGGCTCCACCCAATGCCTTAGGGCTCCTTACCACCTCCTTCAGAAAGCTCTGTGGGCTCCAGGTGAACCAGGGCCCTCCAGGATCATTAGAGAGGCAGAAAAAAACAACTCTGGGAGGCCTTCGAGCTGCACCTGCCTGGCCAGGATTTGCTCCTGCCCCGGAAATGCAGACGAAACCATTCCCGAAGCCACATTCCCACTGCAGACATCCCAGCTGGCTCCCTGGGAAGGAACACTCCGGCTGCCCTAAATGCCTGCTTCTCAAGTGTTCCTCCCAGCTCTGGCCACCTCCTTCCCTCCGTGACCCCGCACCTGCCTTCCCAGGGTCAGAATAAGCAGCCCCGGGGCGCTTCCCCTGATCTCACAGAGACCACGGCCCCATCCCGAGCTGGAAGTGGACAAACCAGGAGGGTGAAAGAGCCTTCTGCTTCCCATCATACCCCTTCCCATCCACACCGCTTCTCTCGCTTCTGCCCACAGCCCTCAGCACCCGGCTTCCTGCATTCTGAGGGTGCGCTCACCAGAAGTCTGGTGTTGACCCTGGATTTCCACAGCAGGTGTGGTCCCCTCTCCTCATGCTCTCCTTCCTGCAGCCTGAGAGGGACAACCCACACCCCAAGTTTGGTCTGCCTTAGGTGTCCCTGCCCACCAGCACTCATCTTACCGCGATAGCAGTTCGAGCCCCTGTGGGCCTCGAACTCAGAGGCAAGAGAGGAGCACTGCCAGAAGCAATGGTCCTTCTTCACACTCCTGCCCCACACCCATGCCACGCAAGGAAAAAGTGACCGGCTGCTGCTGAGGCTGAGATCAAGAGGCTACTCACACAGAGAGGGCGAGGCTCTAGGCCGGGCTAGGTCAGCATGCAAATCTGCATGCAAATCATATGCAAATCTAGGGCCTGCCCTTGGGTTCCTGGCACCCTGTCATCTCTGCTGCCTGTGGCTCACCCCGTTCAGGCACCTGGGTCCTGGTTAGACCTACTGGGGTAGGGGCTGAGAAAGCACTTTGGGAACTTGGGGGGCTCTTCCCCTAGACTACTTCAAAAGTCTCCAAGAAACACTTCTTCCAAGATCACACGGGAGCAAAGACTCTCTCAGCCTGGTAGCTCTACCCCTGAAAAAAAAAAAAAAAAAGGCGCTCTGAATAGTCACCCTCCCTTCAATTCAACCACAAATAAAATCCACCTTCACCAGGCTGAGCGGGGGACCAAGCAAGTGACAAGGATGGGGTTCCTGAAGACATGGAGAAGGTAAATGGGGCCAGAGGTCCACACCGCCCCCGTCAAAGGCCAACAACCCAAGAGATGCTCTCGGCAGACTCCAACCCGGTATCTGGGGGCTCCCAGCCTGCCTGCTTGGGGGCTTGCTTGTTTAGCAAAGCACGGTTGGGCCAAACGCCCGTTGGCTTGCCCACCTCCTCCCCGTTCCTCAGTCTAAGAAAAACAAGCCTCTCCAGCCAGTCTCCTGGGATCTGCTCAACTTAAGCACTGCCTTTGGGTCAACTGCTTACTTGCTTTTTGTTTCTAATTGAGCTCCCCATTCTGCTG